GACTGGTCGTGAGCTTTTGATCTCAGCTCTGTTGATATAGCGTAACATTGTGTCAATAGAATTTTGATCGACTTATCGTGAGCTGTTAATTTCAGCTATGTTAGTAAGGGTAATATTGTGTCAATAGAAGTTTGATCGACTGGTCGTGAGCTGTTGATATCAGCTCTGTTGATATAGTGTAACATTGTGTCAATAGAAGTTTGATCGACTGATCGTGAGCTGTTGATATCAGCTCTGTTGATATAGTTTAACATTGTGTCATTAGAATTTTGATCGACTTATCGTGAGCTGTTAATTTCAACTATGTTAGTAAGGGTAATATTGTGTCAATAGAAGTTTGATCGACAGATCGTGAGCTGTTGATATCAGCTCTGTTCATATAGTTTAACATTGTGTTATTAGAATTTTGATCGACTTATCGTGAGCTGTTAATTTCAACTATGTTAGTGAGGGTAATATTGTGTCAATAGAAGTTTGATCGACTGCCCGTGAGCTGTTGATCTCAGATCTGTTAATATAGTTTAACATTCTGTTAATAGAAGTTTGATCGACTGACCGTGAGCTGTTGATCTCAGCTCTGTTAATATAGTTTAACATTCTGTCAATATAAGTTTGATCGACTGACTGCGAGCTGTTGATCTCAGCTCTGTTGATATAGTTTAACATTCTGTCAATATAAGTTTGATCGACTCACTGCGAGCTGTTGATCTCAGCTCTGTTGACATAGTTTAACATTCTGTCAATAGAAGTTTGATCGACTTATCGTGAGCTGTTGCTCTCAGCTCTGTTGATATAGTATAACATTCTGTCAATATAAGTTTGATCGACTGACCGTGAGCTGTTGATGTCAGCTCTGTTGATATAGTTTAACATTTTGTCAATATACGTTTGATCGACTGATCGTGAGCTGTTGATCTCAGCTCTGTTAATATAGTGTAACACTCTATCAATAGAAGTTTGATCGACTTATCGTGAGCTGTTGCTCTCAGCTCTGTTGATATAGTTTAACATTCTGTCAATATAAGTTTGATCGACTGATCGTGAGCTGTTGATCTCAGCTCACTTGATATAGTTTAACATTCTGTCAACAGAAGAAATAGAAGTTTGATCAACTGATCATGAGGTCTTTGTCTCAGCTCCGTTAACATAAAGTAACATAATGTCAATAAAATTTTAATCAACTGAGTTTCTGGTCATGGCCCCGATAGTCAATATCACAGAACACAATTATCGTAAAATCTCAATTTCGTATTCACGGCACGTGGTTCTATAATTGGAACACGAAATACTATTAGGGTCATGTTGTCTTTTGAATAGGTGTAACTATTCCCTGAAAGGAACTCTTTTGTAATTTTGATATCCAAGTATATAGCTTCGCACAGCACATACCTAAAGAAAGTCTTATTTTCAAAATTAGTTTTAACGTTAAAGTGTCCGTACGACCAAAGTCAACGTCCAATAAATAAGAAATACAGTTGAATCGCCATTAAAGTAACATGTAGTGAGACATGCATACTTAAAATATTTCGTTGAATTTCATGCCATTTTCTTGTGCCACTTTACTGCAAGTGGCATATTGTTGTACTGTCCCATAAGTACAAATGAAAAAAAAGAATCTCAAATATTTCTATCAACAGTTATTATAAACGTGGATTAACATTTTATGTTAGGGTGCTTTTATGGGATTAATGTATTGCGTTTGTATTTGTTTGAAGAAGGAACCTTATTAAGGTATAAATTTTACATTGTAATTTAGAACCGATCGTGACTGAGGCCCCTTACGAAGTACCATGTACCGGGAAAAACTGCAACGTCAACAAAACGGCTGCTTTAGGTAATGGTAGATTGTCTTTTAAAACAAAAATATAATTATATAAAATGACTACTATATTTAATGTTAAACAATGCTGCTACGGCAAAGACTTCAACAAGCACTTACGTCTTTGAGAACCTGTGCAAATTAATTATTTTTTGTAATTATTTATTGTTTTGAAATCTGAACTGTTATACATTAACCCTTCACCGACAAAATATTTAACCTAACCGCATTTTGTGATTAAGTTTTGTTTTGATTTTAGTTTACACATATTTTAAAAGTGTTTTATATATATTTTGTTGTTTATATAATATTATTTCACATTTTTTACGTCATGATACATCATAACAAACATTTTCATAATTCATTTAAGTGTGTCAAGTGTTTAATATATTATGTATCTATATTTTCCTTTGTTGTAGAATATAACGGCGCACAATCAAAATCAAGCGTCATTTTCACCATGGCAACATCTATTGTCATACTCATCAGCACCCTTGCTCTGCGGTAGTAACCAGTTATAACGCTATTCCAGTGAGGTAGATATTCAAGTGCTCATAACCTTGGCCTAGCTGGAGCATCGAATGAAGAAAAAATGTTTGGACAAAAAGGAAATTTCAGACAAAATAAACCCTCAGGAGTCATAAAGGATGCATTGCTTCTAAATCGTCGTTTCAGACAGACGTACGCGGTCTCTTTAATGAATTGTTACCATAGTAACGAGTTCATTTATATAAGTTTGATCGGAAATGAATCAACGTGGCAATTGGACAATCGTTGCTATATCTTTAAAATTGTATGTAACACCTTAACAGTGTGTGATTACCATGGTAACGATCTATAACTCTGGTGGGAAAGCCGGCAGTGTTTATATGGGAACATTGATGCTATATTATTGAAAAATGTACTGAGCGTCTTTGATGTATTGTTATCATGGTAACGAATTATTAAGTCTGGTCAGGATAACCCTGATTTATAGCTTACGATCCGCTAGGTAATACACCTATTTATTTCAATTAGCCGTCCAGTACTGGGATACGTCATCGAGGGCTCTCTCTGGACCTGGCGCCAAGGCCAAGAATCAGTCTTAATATTTAGTCCAAATTTAAAATGTCGATAAGATAAGTATGTCTCTTGAGAACTAGTGTATTAAATTACGTGTAACATGAGAAGACACAGTACATACTTACGATGTGTACATGTACACTTATGTTAAATGATAATTTAATAAGTTATTAAATAATATTCAAATTTGGACTCTGGTCATAATTCGTTCAAGACCTTGGAGCCAGGTTTTAGCATAATTCCAGCAGATTGAATAGTAGTCACTCATATCAACAAGCAAAATAAAACCGGAAGTATCTATAGGTTCCAAGAAATCTTCTTGAAACATTCATCAATATAATTCGGCAAAAACATTATTCACATTGACTAAAAGTAGCGTGTCATTTTTAAGGACCACTAGCTGTCATTTAACCTCAATAAAACCACACAATATATCTATTCAATCCAACTTGTAAATCCTGTTTCACATGTTTGTAAAAGTAGTTTATCTAGTCTTTGTATCGAACTATACCTTTAGAAAAAGGAAAAATATTATCCACACTGGTAATTTTTTTCCATTTTATTCTCACTATGTCCCCTTATCTTTGATATACACTATAAACGGTTAGAAAACACGAAGATAGACAAATTGACAAGCGTCTCATAAATAATTACGAAAAGTTAAACACAAAAAAAATGAAATTGTTTCTAGGATTAAATCATCTAAAATCATTTAGATTCTCGTAAATGCTAAATTAATTTTGAACACAGACAATAGTTAAATCATTTTTGCGAGCTTTTGAAAACGTCTGTTTCCTTTGTCAAACAAAGAGTGTTTTACTCTTTTGTCCCGACTCCATAACCTTTGGAAACAACTCACTAAGCCACAATGTGCCGAGGTATTAAAGTCATCCGTCAGTAAATACGAAGACATTTCGCCCAAATGGCACTCTAATACTGCTAGCAGTCAGGGGGACGGGTAACATATTTACCGATTCCGCCTCTTAGAGTATAGTAAGATAAATACTCATTATAGTAAGGATGCTTTCGAAATAAATCCAATTGCATATTGACTTGACATGCCATTCAGGTACATGTAATTGAATTTGATAAAAACTGCGTGCGGAATACCCACCAATATATTTATTGGTTCATGGATTTAATCGTCGTCGGATTATACCTGTTGACACCTGGTTTGTCTTACTTTGTGTTCTTTCAAGTTCGTATTTAAAACATCATCATTGTATTCAAACATATAATCATGAAGGAAGGGAAGCTACTCTAACATAGTAAGAACTAGTCCTGGATATATCTTGAACAAACCATACAACATATTGTTACATCATACTATAATGTGTACATCTTTAACAACATATGATTCCCTGATGTTTAAGGCATGTAGTAAACATTTCATAGACTTCACCAACTCATCGATTTTCACATCGTTCCTGGTTTCGCTCATATACTTAAATTGTATCAAATTTATGCGTTTTTTCACCTTTTTGATTTTTTTTAAAGATTTTTCAATATTTTTCTCTCCTCCTAAAATATCCCGACAGTCCCACAAGCTATAACTAAATGTAAATGAGCATGACATAATGAATCATATGGTTTTTGGTTTTATACTTTCATGTTTGACACATTTTTTGTGACGGATCCGTATAATCTGACTTTTTAGAAGTCATAAAATGTTACATTGGAGCCAAGACGATAACATTCGTTGACCTCAAATATGACGAAGAAAATAATACTTTTAAAATGCTTAAACACGTTATAAAATTGTAAGAAACGTTCACTTTATCTCGTAACGTTTTTTGTCGTTTAATGGTCTTCGTAGTAATAATTTTTTCCTACTTAGCTCGCCCAACCAACCCAGGAAAAAAATGTAGAAACTCTAAATTAGATCTTTAAATAACTAAAGTTGTTCCGCAAACATTTTAAATATATGTAAATAAGTAAACGTTTTTGGCAAGTTTTAATATATTAATTATATATGAGTATATATAAAAAGAACGCATTGTAACATCATACTGAATGAGTATTGAGTATTAACTTAAACGCCGTTCAATGAAAACGGGTAAAAGGAATAGGGCTCCGTTTATGTTGCTAGCATAGTACAGCAGGTAGGTCGTCAGCTGTGACTTGAGTATAAGGGGAAGATAATCTGATTAAAAAGCTAGTCTTAATTCATTACGATTATCTGTGTATAATAATCTGAGAACATCAAGGGCTCATGGTAACCTTCATTGAATCGCGTACTAAACTCTCCATTTACAAAGAGTACGCGTATACGTTATTATCGGGGTATACCATGAAAAGTCACAAAACACTCATTGATGCAATTAATATGGAGGTTTCAATTTCGAAGAAATAAATGTGCTATATAGTTATATAAACACGGGAAGTTGACACGATGTATTAGGAAACCTACCCGGATAATGTGCAATTGAAATGTTGGAATAGCTAGCTATGTCTCATGAAGTGTAAATCTAGTTATGTTATTGTGATCGAAACTATATGTTAAATTATATTTTAGTATCCCTTTTCGTTCACTATCACGTTTATCTTAGTTTGTTCTAACTTATTGAATGGTACCAAGTGTCTCGAGAATGGATTAGGCTCCATTCATATTTGTTGATTATGCCTGTCATGTCTTAAATATGACTAAAAAATATGATGTGAAAGGAATCTTGTGCCCATTATGACGGATTGTTGTAGTGGGCGCTATATCGGGTTATAGAATGATTTTGTAGTGACTGCTTGATTTGTTTTATCTGACTTTGAAGTAGCCGCTAAAATGTCATATTGTAGATTTAGGTGGCTACTAAAATGTTACATTGTAGATTTAAGTGGCCACTATAATATCATATGGTAGAGAAAAGTGGCCACTAAAATGTCATATTGTAGATTTAGGTGGCCGCTATAATATTATATTGAAGATTTAAGTGGCCGATATGATATCATATGGTAGATTAAAGTGGCCACTAAAATGTCGTATTGTAGTTTTAAGTGGCCGCTAAAATATCATATTGTAGATTTAAGTGGCCGCTATAATATTACATTGTAGATTTAAGTGGCCGCTATGATATCATGTGGTAGATTAAAGTGACCGCTAAAATGTCATATTGTAGATTTAAGTGGCCGCTATAATATTATATTGTAGATTTAAGTGGCCGCTATGATATCATGTGGTAGATTTATGTGGCCGCTAAAATGTCATATTGTAGATTTAAGTGGCCGCTATAATATTATATGTAGATTTAAGTGGCCGCTATGATATCATGTGGTAGATTAAAGTGACCGCTAAAATGTCATATTGTAGATTTATGTGGCCGCTAAAATATAATATTGTAGATTTAAGTGACCGCTAAAATGTCATATCATTGATTTAAGTGGACACTGTAATGTCATATTGTAGATATAAAAGGCCGTTATAATGTCATAATGTGATTTTAAATGAACGCTTTAATGACATTTTGTATTGGCCTTTATCATTTTTTTCCGTATTGCCCATTTAGTATTCATAATATACAATTATAGCATGTTGATGAGGTCGCTACATGGTCTTACCGACCTTAGGAAACAGTATCGACCGAGGACGATTAATTCTTCTATTTTATGGTCAAACACTGCTATTTTAAAACGGAAAGCTGAATTTTATTTTCAAATTTCATTGAACATTAACAACACCCTGAAAACAACACAATACAGATACTTCGGAGTAACAACATTTACAGGAAGTTACTGCAATTTGAGTTGACGTCTGCATTGGCTGAACGCGAGTTCATTGTTGTTTTGGCAAAAAGCGCAAAACTAGAGGTAGTCCAAGTATGAGAGGCGAGATGTTCCAAACCAAAAGCTGTTTATAGAAACACCAGGTTTACAATATTGTTGTTGCATGCTAAGTGACTTTATGAGTGCGTCACGTGTGCTAATTCCAACCAATAGACGTGAATGAATTACAATGAAAAATAGTAATGGCCGCGATAATGGCATATCCTTATACGTCACTCCACTACCCAGGTATGACATCGTGTACCACTACCAAGGTATGACATTGTGTACCACTACCCAGGTATGACGTTGTGTACCACTACCAAGGTATGACATTGTGTACCACTACCAAGGTATGACATCGTGTACCACTACCAAGGTATGACATTGTGTACCACTACACAGGTACGACATTGTGTACCACTACCCAGGTATGACATCGTGTACCACTACCAAGGTATGACATTGTGTACCACTACACAGGTATGACATTGTGTACCACTACCCAGGTACGACATTGTGTACCACTACACAAGTATGACATTGTGTACCACTACACAGGTATGACATTGTGTACCACTACACAGGTACGACATTGTGTACCACTTCACAGGTACGACATTGTGTACCACTACCAAGGTATGACTCAACTCACCACGTCTCCTGTAACGTACTACTAGTGTACACGTGTGTAGGGAATAACCTTAATAACGTATCTATTGCAACTACCGGTCGATGTACAATTCAAATTTAGTGGTATTGTGATTTCCTGTTCATGTTAATAAAAGCAACAAAGGATTATACCAGCACCATTTTACGGTTTATCTGTCATGTTAACTTGATGCATTATTTTCATTGTGATGTCACAATCAAACTCACCATCACCTATTTATATTGATTGAAATGATTTAAGTATGTGGTAAAAATAAAATAAAAAAATGGCTGGATAGGTGTTAAAAAATATATAAAGTGACTAGATATGTGTTAAATCATATATGAAGTGACTAGATATGTGTTAAATCATATATGAAGTGACTGGATATGTGTTAAATCATATATGAAGCGACTGGATATGTGTTAAATCATATATGAAGTCACTGGATATGTGTTAAATCATATATTAAGTGACTGGATATGTGTTAAATTATATATTAAGTGACTGGATATGTATTAAATCATATATTAAGTGACTGGATATGTCTTAAATCATATATTAAGTGACTGGATATGTCTTAAATCATATATTAAGTGACTGGATATGTGTTAAGTCACATATTAAGTGACTAGATATATGTTAAGTCACATATTAAGTGACTAGATATGTGTTAAGTCACATACTAAGTGACTAGATATGTGTTAAGTCACATATTAAGTGACTAGATATGTGTTAAATCATATATAAAGTGTATATATGTTACGTGAAACTGTATTTGTTATATCACGTGGTTAAATGCACACCAGTTTTTCCTTTGAAGGGAAATCAGAGGTTTGTCATTTAGCTGGTAGTGTAGATACATTTATTTGTGCAGTTAATGAATTTTCAACGTGATGTGTGCGTTGTATCATAAAATACTAAAGGAACGCGGTATTTGTATGAAAGTGATGTGTTTTTATCTAGCTGTATCATTTGTGAAAGCGATACTCAGGGGCGAACAGGTGTTCATTTACCATATTTGTGTTATCATAGTGTTATAATGATATATATCTCATGTCCATGAAAGAAAAATGAAGTAGAACGGAGTGTGGAAGACTTATTGGTGAGTTTATATATCGCTTAATGTAGGATATTGAACTCTTCTTAAAGATAAAATTAAATCGTAGATATGGATTGCATCGTACGCACGGAGGGGTAATACCAATTCGTAGCCCGTACGCAACAGTAAATTTTATCCCTAAACAGG